ACACTCCCCCTTCTCCTCGCTACCGTACGTAACACAACACCTCGATTTTATCCGCGTTGACCAGTTTACAGTGTGAGCAAGTGTGAGTACAGCAACACCTGCTGACTTGGGCGGACTCCACACCTGAGGACCCAGCCTGACCGAGCCTCGGACGCCGCCTGCTGCACCAGCAGGTCTGGTAACATCGTACACTCTAGGGTGCCGTGACGTACACACGGGGAAAACTCTCGTACGGTACGCATCAAACACCCCCCTCCTCTCCCATATACACGAATCACACTTCCTGTAGTTGCTTCTATACATGAACGCCATACTATTTTGCATACTCCTAGAGTAATTAGTGCACATAAGAGATGGTTGGAGGGTGGTAAGGGTGGGTGTACAGGAGCCGTGTGGGAGCGTGGAGGCCAGTGTATAGCGGTGATGGCCAGGGAGACGACACCGTACTTGTCACTCACGATCATTCACCTCCACCACCACCACCTGCTGCTGCTCCTCACGCCCAACCCTCCTCGTGAAGGGAACAGTCACACAATTAATATATATATAAATAAAAGGGAGTACCTCGGAGGAAACCACACAACGCATTAGAGGGAATGTTTAGGTCCCCTCCAATACTGTTTGTGTGTTTTTCTCTATATTATTCATTATAAACTTGACCATTGCTTCTATACACACACATCCGGAGTCACGAAAGCTTTCACGACTAACAAATGCTGTAAACAGTTATATTTACTGGATTTTTTTGTTTACATAAGATGTACGAGGTCAGTAGGGCGCCAAGGCTGACACCTGGGCTCCAAAGGACCTGTACCAAATGCTACCCAATCAAGTAAGGGTAGGGTACTAATTACACCTCTAGTTAGATCAGTTATTGATGAAGGAGCAGACTTGGTGGATGCCGAGGGTGGTGAGGGGGATCTCACTAAACACTTCACCCCAACACTCTTCCACACATCATCAAGCAGGCCAAAGCACAGTGACCAAGCAAGCACAGTCAGTGAATCTGTGCTACGCTGGAACAAGGCCGTTCCAGCCGACCTCAACTAATATTAGCGAAAAGGAATTAGTAGATGATAACCTATAACAGCATACAGATACCCATGGTGATGAGGATGGTACAAGAATGAACAAGTAAATTCAAGTACAAGAATGAACAAGTAAATTCAAGTACAAGAATGAACAAGTAAATTCAAGTACAAGAATGTAAGTACTCCTGTATATATTCTCGGTAAACTTTCTCCTCGGGTTAAAATTAAATAATAATAATAATAATAACTACACAATGAGAGTAGAAAGTGTGGGATGACAACTTTCACGTCTTGGGAGTGTGGGTGGTAGCGGTGGTGGTGTCTGGCAGGGTAGTTCCTACCACACAGTGTGGGCATCGCCGTATAGCTGTCTTACGCCCACATCAACTACCCACGCTCAACAATTGATGGCTTCCCATGGACCACTGGCTATCCTTCGTGCCCCAATTACGCACGTGCAAAGAATTTAAGTATGAACATCTGCGAGTGGCGGTGCAGCGCCACAAGGTAATGTGCACTTCATATATTCTAACGCGTCGCCCTGGGGCCAGATTCACGAAGCAGTTATGCAAGCACTTACGAACCTGTACATCTTTTCTCAATCTTTGGCGGCTTTGTTTACAATTATTAAACAGATAATGAGCTCTGAAGCACCAGGAGGCTGTTTATAACAATAACAACAGTTGATTGGCAAGTTTTCATGCTTGTAAACTGTTTAATAAATGTAACCAAAGCCATCAAAGATTGAGGAAAGATGTACACGTTCGTAAGTACTTGCGTAACTGCTTCGTGAATCTGGGTCCTGGACGTTACTCTTGGGTGGCTTAATCTTTATCAATCAATCAGCTGGACGTTGCAGTCTATCATAAGATTTCTCCTTATGTAGACAATTGCAACAACCACTATCTTGCAATCAACCGAAGAGAGGTTCATTTTAAAGTATTAAAAACTTCTTCATATGTAATACAAATTCAACACCCTCTTTCCTTAAATGACAGGATTGGAGCAAATGTTAATGAATACATGTTATTTAAAACGTTAAATATGCCACACTGGCACACAGACGGGCCAGTGTGTAGGCGTGTGCTGCCCGAATATGGCCGCCAGGATACTTGGTGTAATATTGGGCAGGTAGTTTTTCTCCCACATCATCTCTCCTGCCCACAGTCTCCACCTCCCACCACGAATGCAAATCTCCAGGGAAAAAAGGTTCGGAGAATGTTGTGCAATTCAATCTGGATTCAGCATATAAGCCTCAGGTGTGGGCAGGTGTAATTACTAGCGTGTTCGCGGTCTGCAGCAGGTGTGGAGGTGCACCTGCTTATTTGGTACAGGTGCAGTGGCACAGCTGGTGATCAGGCAAGCAGAGGTGGTACAGCTGCTAGTGGGTGGTGGTACAGCTGGTAGTGGGTAGTGGTACAGCTGGTAGTGGGTAGTGGTACAGCTGGTAGTAGGTGGTGGTACAGCTGGTAGTAGGTGGTGGTACAGCTGGTAGTGGGTAGTGGTACAGCTGGTGGTGACACAGCTGGTAATAGAGCAGGTGCAGTCAGGAAAGTGGCACAGAGGAGGCATCAGGTGTAGGGGGGAGACACCAGGTGACCAGCACACAGACAGCAGGTAGTGGTAGTGGCGAGGCTGCTGCTGGTAGTGGATGGTGGTGGTGTAGGTGGTAGACATGTGCCCTTGTGTTTGTGGTGCTCACCTACCACTGACTACGGGGGAGTGAAGTCTACCACTTTATGCCCCACTTGCTACCATTATTTTACCCGTTGCGTTATAATGGAACTATTCTGACCTTCGAATTCCGTTTTTCTTCACAGCCGAGTACAGGAATAAACGATTTCTGATTACTGTTAGCAGGCCGGGAGCTTCCCGTTCCCATAGCTCATGATAAGCCTAGCCCACTAGTTCTCCCTGGAACACAACCCGCCAATTGGTCGACTACCAGGTACCCAATTACCTCTTAGTGTTGAGGCGAACAGTTAACGATAGTCGAATCTGGCTTTTAAGTTATGGGTGGAGGTGGCTTCTACAACTTTTCAGTTGAAAGAATGTTTAATTTGAATTTTGCTGTACAACAATAATTTATGAGAATAAACCTATTTTTATTACACGGCATGATAAAAAATGATGGAGGCGTCTCGGGGGACGGCCCTCCTTCCTATTCTTGTAGTTGTCTTTCCCCTTACAGGGTAGATACCTCTTCGTCTCCTTTCTTCCTTGCTTATCTTCATTACCTTACACTTGTTGAGGTCGAATTCCAGCAACCACTTATTTGCCCACTCCTGGAGTTTGTCAAGGTCCCCTAACTTCCTGCACTAGTTTTTACATTCCTCATCAGCTGGTGGTGATGGTAGCGAGGCAAGTAGTGGTGGTGGGTGGGTGGGTGGTCCAGGTGTTACTACAGGAGGGGATACTCCTGGGTGTATGGGTACATGGAGGTGGACACACCTGGGATAATATCCCACCTCCTCCCCACCACACCCTTCCCTACGTCCTCAACAGACCCTCTCCACGTCCTCATCACACCCATGCCCACGCCCTCACCACACCCATGGCCACGCCCTCCCATGCCCATGCCCTCACCACACCCACGTCCCCAATGCCCAGCATGTGATATTGGTGTTGACAGAAGGCCGTGAGAACAGCTTGAACGCGAGGTGTGGGCGTCGGGAGTGCGAGGTCACCACTATGGACCAGTCCATCTAGTTACCCAAAGCCACCCGAAGCTACCCTCAAAGCTTTGAACATGTTCGAACATTTGAAAAAAGGACATGTTGAACATATTTTTCCAGGCTCTACATTCAGCACCAACATTATAGTGAGTAAACATGTCATATTTCTTCCTTACTTCCGCAATGCTAGGAGGCTTTGGGTGGCTTTGGATAATCAGATGAACCCCCTCCACCAGCTCTGCATTTCTCATCACCACACCGTCACCACCATTATAATGTTTGGATATAATTATCACAAATGTATTAATAACCAAAAATATACACTCTCTGAAGCGTGTGGTGATTTCAAAACCTTTCATATTGTTACTAACAGCCAATGGTTGCATGAGCAATGCAGCACATGATTACCATTTACAAAATACTCACAGAAATAGACAGGGCAAATAACGATGGACTATTTAGCAAAGGTAGTACACAAACAAGTGGGCATAGATGGAAACTAAATACCCAAATAACTCACAATGACATTAGAAAGGCTTTTTTGTGTCAGGAGTGTACAGTGGGAATGCAGTAAGAAATGAAGTGGTGGAGGCAAGTGCCATACACAGCTTTAAATGTAAATATGACAGACCAATAGACTCTAGTGAGTAGGATAAAATATTAAAGTGTACAATAGTGGGGACAGAAAAATCAAGAAAAGGGAGCCGGTCGGCCAAACCGACAGCACGCTGGACTTGTGATCCTGTGGTCCCGGGTTCGATCCCAGGCGCCGGCGAGAAACAATGGGCAGAGTTTCTTTCACCCTATGTTCCTGTTACCTAGCAGTAAAATAGATACCTGGGTGTTAGTCAGCTGTCACGGGCTGCTTCCTAGGGGTGGAGGGACAAAAAAAAAAAAAAAAAAAAAAGCCCCGAAATCATCTCAAGATGACCTCAAGAAAACCAAGAAAGAAAATTATAGAAAATGTAAAGGAAACAAAAAAGATGACCAGCAGAGCATAAGCAGTACTAACAAACCAGATAGTACTCCACCGCAGCATGTCCACGTAGCCTATAGCAGCAAAAACTCAACACTAACTAGCACAAAATGCATGTGCTTACACCCCCTCTGGACGGAGCATAGATCACCCAGAATTTATACCCCTTCTTGCTGTATTAAGAGAAAAGTACAGTACTGTACATGAAAGCAGAATGCAGTAATTACACAAAAATATAATTACAAAACAGATGGTAAAGCAAACCAGATCTTCCAAACCACAGAAGGATACTAGACAATCAGTGAACAAGGTACTCACCATAAGAAACATCGTGAGAAGACTGAGCTTTTCTGAGTTCATAGTTGGGGGTTGCAAGATTGATGAGAGAGGTAGTACGTTCAAGTTGTTCTTGATTGTCTGTTCTCTGCAGAACAGAAAAAAAGTATTAGGCTTTAAAATGAAACAAATCGAAAGCATTCACTTGTTAAGACAATACAACTCATCTTTAAATTGCAGCTGTATGACAGAAAATTTACTAAGGCACATCATAATACCTGTATATCAAAATATCAAAGCACAAGTTTGGGTACTCGTTTGGGATCGACAGCACACACTTTTCATGGAACAATTTAATTTGTCATATCATGTTCCTTCATATTAATTAACCTACTTGTGCTACATTATGCTATTGTATATAATTGACAGATTGATAGACCTGTGTAATAAAGGGTGCAGTCTCACTCGTACAAAACCCAATCAGCTGAAAATACATATGCAAATGGAAGGATTCATTCCAGTCATCAGATTGTTCTGATCAGTTGCAACAATGGATAAATTATTTTAGGCTTCCTGTGGAGAAGGGCCATGTATTTACTTTACCAGAATTTGTTGTAGAGAAATGAAAAACAAAATACAATATAAAAATCAAACGAATATACTCATGGCCCTTTGTAAGCAGGCATGTTTTGGCACTCTTTCCCCCTTTTCCCTGTGCCATAGTTAGTATCCCAGCCAGTTTCTCCCACTTATGCTTTCATCCCACCATTTCTGTTCCTCTTCAACATGCGCTGCCAAACCACACAACATGCTGAAGCTTCTTTCAGTGTTCCTTGAACCTCTGCAACAACATTGTTCTAACCTATTTTACATATAATACTGGGTATCTAACCAAGAAATTCAATTTTATACTTGCATCATTGTATGTTTTTATTTCGTTTTTCACTTTTGCCATAGTTATTTGCCATCTACAAAATAGAGTATGATCATTTAATCTTATAAATTCATGCCTCACTACCTAATTAGACAATTTTACTTTTCCATATTCTGTGCCTAAATCTCATAAATATATCTATACAGTACTGTATATCCTTACACTGGAACAAGTCAACAACATTTAAATCTGGTAAGGTGCACATTCTACATGTCAATGCTGGCACTGATGACCAGTCCAGCAACCAGAAGACCTGATCGAGAATCCGGCCGCAGGGACATTCAACCCCGAAATCATCGCAAGGTATCGCTATTTCTATTTTCTGCCAAAACTCAAATCTACTTGTCACTACCTTTCATCTAGTCACATATCTGCCCACTGGTTTCACTTATATTGGGCAACTTAACTAAATCTCATCCCATAACTGCTCCTGTAAGTTTTCTCTAGAAGATACTGGGCCCAAAAGTGTATACATGTGCACCCAATCCAATTAAAATGTTAAATCCTAACCTAGAATACTTACAATTAAATTCAACCATCATTTCAAACTACAGTATTCATTAATCATTGAGTGTCCTATGCCATTCAGTATCTAAGTATCCTTTGGTAGACCTTAACCTTTTTATTTTTATAAACTATTCACACAACATACAGTACCACTGTTTCTTTCATCTTCCATTTTGTTTACACACAAAGTACTGTAATGCTCTGCAGTACAGTACTATTATTATAGTAAAGTACTTTGATAGATTCTAGTGCTTGACACATGCAAAGTTGACAAAGGTTTTATCTTACCTTAAGCCTACGTAGTGGACGAGGAGGATCAGGGGCAGGAAAATGGCTGTCTCTGCTGTTACGATATATGGCAGGCCTATCACCCAAGCTATTGACACGGGCTACAGGTTGATTTATGTTGAGACTGGTTTCTGAATGCATTCCAAAGAGTGTGGGTTTGTTTGGTGGTAAACAAGGTTTGGCAGAATGAGCAGGTTTTACTAGGAATGGGGAATGTTTCACAGGTGCCGAGGAAAATTCACTCCAATGTGGTTTTTTGGGAAGTGATGGCTTTTCTAAGTCAATGGAGGGCATAGAGGTAATGGATGTTTCATTGTTTGCAGCTTCATCTCTCTTGTCTTCTTTAAGTTCATCAGACTTGGGTTGTGTTGACATAGAATCCATTTTAGATAACTGACCCAACTTTGGTTTCACCTGGTGGTTAAATGACTCAGACTTGGTAATTTTCTTGTCATAACTCGTTTCTTCTGATCTGGAAGTGTAGGTGGAAATTGAAAAATTCATAGCCCTTGTTCGACTTTTACCTGCCTCATTCCCACTACCCGAGTTTTGGCGAGCCACTCTACTCTTAGTGCTTCTGGTTGTACCATCACTCACATCTGATGACGACCTCGATGCTCGTGCCTCAAATTCCAAATCCGACAGTGGTGGTGCAGGTGGAGGAGCACTTTCATGGCTGGTACTTGATCCTGATCTAGAGTGTAAAGAAGCAACTTCTGGTTCAGGGCTGTTGCAATAACTTTCATAGCTGAAATTAGCACTATTTGATGATTTATTAATCTTGGGAGGGTTATCTAAAACATGGGATTTCTTACTCTCAACTGAACCTTTTGCAACAACTTGTGGAACATATGTATGCTGAACTGGGACAATGTCTTTTGCTGGAAGTATCATTTCTTGAGTCACAATGTCCTTTGCTTGTATCTTGGCAGCAGATGAAGTTGCCTCCTTGCTAGGTGACTTAAGTGTTTGAAGAATTGTTTCCATGCCCTTAACCTTAGGTTTCAACTCCACAATTCTTGGTTCGTTGTTATTTGTTTCTTTTATTGTTGATTTTAATTCATTTATCACATTCTGCTTTGCTTTCTCTTCTGACTTGTATGATGTGGATGAAAGACTAGATGAAGAACTCTTCCTGCTGGAAGCATTACTTACTAAATTATTTGTTTCCTTTCTCCCCTGCATCTGTTTCAGCAAACTGGTTCTTTCTATAATATTTACATTTGTTGAGTCTGAAAGCGAGCTGTCAGAAGAATCTTTAAACCCAGATGGCACATCTGTAAGAATCTCTGGTGCAGGTTCGGAAGATGTACTTGAAGAATCATCCGCCACCCTAGATGAGGGGCCATCTTTAAAGGGCGTGGGAGGATCTGGAAGCTTGAAATCCCAGTGGTTATCCAAGCTGGTAGGAGGCAAATCACCCAACATTTTCACTGATGATTGCATTGGAGGTTTCTCTAAAGGCAACTCAGATAATTTGCTTTCATCTTTTAATTCTGCAAATGCAGCCAGAAGATGACTTTCTATTTTCTTCTTAGTTACCTGTTAGGATAAAAAAAAAAAGATTTGTAAATTTTGTTTTTTTTACATATTTTTGGGTATGCTTTTTTTTTTGGTTATCAAAACAATTTTATAGTTTTGAACATGCACGAACCAATTTGCTTAATATTTTGTAGAGTTGAATAACATGGCATTGTACCACTGACCTTCAATTCATCCCAATCATTTTTCTGAATTATTTCAACAGTCCTGTGAGTCAACAGTGCTGATACTGTGCGTCAAAATTCACACATATGTACTTTCCATTTAACTTGGATTTACAGTACAGTAATTTCATCATATGAGGGTACTTGTTAAAGTTATCACTGGATTGGCATACTGTACTTCACAACTGTGGTTAAATGAAGGCAGTGCAGGGGGGGTGTAGCAAGTGTGAAGTGCAGGGGGGGGGGGGGTGAAGCAAGTGCAGGGGTGGGTGTAGCGAGTGCAGGGGGGGGGGGGGGGGGGTGTAGCGAGTGCAGGGGGGGGGGGGGGTGTAGCGAGTGCAAGGGGGAAGGGGGGGTGTAGCGAGTGCAGGGGGGGGGTGTAGCGAGTGCAGGGGGAGGGGTGTAGCGAGTGCAGGGGGAGGGGTGTAGCGAGTGCAGGGAGGGGGGGGGGGGTGTAGCGAGTGCAGGGGGGGGGGGGTGTAGCGAGTGCAGGGGGGGGGGGGTGTAGCGAGTGCAGGGGGGGGGTGTAGCGAGCGCAGGGGGGGGTGTAGCGAGTGCAGGGGGGTGTAGCGAGTGCAGGGGGGGTGTAGCGAGCGCAGGGGGGGGTGTAGCGAGCGCAGGGGGGGTGTAGCGAGCGCAGGGGGGGGTGTAGCGAGCGCAGGGGGGTGTAGCGAGCGCAATGGGGGGTGTAGCGAGCGCAGGGGGGTGTAGCGAGCGCAGGGGGGGGGGTGTAGCGAGCGCAGGGGGGGGGGTGTAGGGAGTGTAGGGGGGGGGGGGGGGGGGGGGTGTAGCGAGTGCAGGGGGGGGGGGGGGTGTAGCGAGTGCAGGGGGGGGGGGGGGGGTGTAGCGAGTGCAGGGGGGGGGGGGGGGGGTGTAGCGAGGGGGGGGGGGGGGGTGTAGCGAGTGCAGGGGGGGGGGGGGTTTTGTAGCGAGTGCAGGGGGGGGGGGGTGTAGCGAGTGCAGGGGGGGGGGGTGTAGCGAGTGCAGGGGGGGGGGGTGTAGCGAGTGCAGGGGGGGGGGGGTGTAGCGAGTGCAGCAGGGGGGGGGGGGGGTGTGTAGCGAGTGCAGTGGGGGGGGGGGGTGTAGCGAGTGCAGGGGGGGGGGGGTGTAGCGAGTGCAAGGGGGGGGGGGGGGTGTAGCGAGTGCAAGGGGGGGGGGGGGTGTAGCGAGTGCAGGGGGGGGGGTGTAGCGAGTGCAGGGGGGGGGGGTGTAGCGAGTGCAGGGGGTGTAGCGAGTGCAGGGGGGGTGTAGCGAGTGCAGGGGGGGGGGGTGTAGCGAGTGCAGGGGGGGGGGGTGTAGCGAGTGCAGGGGGGGTGTAGCGAGTGCAGGGGTGGTGTAGCGAGTGCAGGGGTGGTGTAGCGAGTGCAGGGGTGGTGTAGCGAGTGCAGGGGTGGTGTAGCGAGTGCAGGGGGGTGTAGCGAGTGCAGGGGTGGTGTAGCGAGTGCAGGGGTGGTGTAGCGAGTGCAGGGGTGGTGTAGCGAGTGCAGGGGTGGTGTAGCGAGTGCAGGGGTGGTGTAGCGAGTGCAGGGGTGGTGTAGCGAGTGCAGGGGTGGTGTAGCGAGTGCAGGGGTGGTGTAGCGAGTGCAGGGGTGGTGTAGCGAGTGCAGGGGTGGTGTAGCGAGTGCAGGGGTGGTGTAGCGAGTGCAGATGGGTGTAAAGCCTAACTTAAGTTTGAAAATAATCTAGTTATCTCGTGTTTATTATTCAGTATTACAGTACTGTACTTGGTTATTTGTTTCATAAATCAAAAACTACAGTACAGTACTTCTAATCTAGTATTTACCTTGGTACGTATTTTTGTAATCTACACTTATCAAATTTGTATCCTTTGTTTTGCATTTTATTTTGTGTTAAATTTAGTGCCATATTAATACCCTTCTCTATTACTGTACAATACAGGTAGGTCTGATACTGTATAGAATTCCCAATATTCTGTCTCTCACCATGTGTGAAACAAATCCCAAGTCAACCAGTATAGCTCATCAAAAGGCCCTGACAAACCAGAATAACTAGCTTTGAATAAACCATCAACATTCTTTGTCAATCTTGCTTATATATGCAATTAAATTTTCCTCTTGGGGATTTGGAGTACAGTATCGCAATATGCAGTTCTTGCTCAAAATTACCTCCTGGGAGACTTGTGGAGTCAACTCAATGTGGCTGGTGTTCGTAGAGGACTCATTTGAGGCAGAAGACGACGACGATACTGAGGATTTTCGGCTTCCTGAAGAGACTCTCGTGTTCTGGCAAATCAAATAAAATTAGTTTAACCACTAAAAGTTGTAAACAATTTTGAAGCTTATTACAAATGACAAAACAGCTCGCATACACCACTCCAATTGGATCTCTTCCAAGATCAGAAATTACATATCTCACCCTGACTTGTGAACTCTCTCTCATCTATCCAATCTCAATTACGGTGTCTGTGCTCGGGGATCTACAACCCAAAATTACCTTCAACCCATAATACTCAACATAAAGCAACAATTAGAAAAATAAACTCCAGTCCCAGACAGCACCTGTCTTCCTTACTGAAATCTTTGAATATGTTAAGTATCAAGTCACTACACATCCTCTCAAGTGTGCTCTATATCTATAAAATTCTGCATTGTAATGCTAAGCCTGACCTTAAGCACTTCTTAGAGGGCTTTAACAGACATGGGCATCATATGAGAAACATATCTTTTTGATATTCCTGGAGTGCAACTTAACCAAAGTAGAAACAAACTGCAAATTATTGGTCCTAAACTGTGGAATGACCTTTCTAATGATATTAAAAATTGTACTTCTCTTGCCCAATTCAAAAGAGAAGCTAAGAACTACCTTATTTATTTGATGTAACCAATTTTCCTAATCTTTTCTCATCCCAAATGTCAACTTGTGTTTTGTTGATATTGTAAACTTTAATTCATACTTACTACATAAATACTGTTACTAAATACTGCTATTTTTAAATATCACAAACAAATTGTGTCATTTTCCTAAATCTCTTCACTTTTTTAAAACTTGGCAACTATCTACTGTAATGCTAAGACAATGGCTGTTTATAAATGTCTCTTGCACAGTTGTTCAATTATTTTCATATATTTCAACAATAAGTCAATGTCACTGTCAATCTGTCACATCTCAATTGATTATAAGCAGTGCCCTTTAACCATTTGGCTGCACATCACGTCACATGGTGGGGTAGCTAAATATGCTCAGACTGTGCATCCCATCATATGAAGTATTAGAGAAGTGCATAAGATTTAAAAGTCTTGCACATACATGGGGCTCACAGTTGCAGAGAAATAATAATACATTCCAGGATTCCAAAATCATTTTTTTATACTATACCTCTACTTAAATCCCCACTTAAACCATATCAAATATGTCCTCCAATGACTAGTAACAAATAGAGTATACTGAACAATGATACAGATAATGCTTAAAAAATCCAAGATGCAAAAATAGACTTAATTAAAAGAGTGCACCTTTTAAGGTAACGAGGATTCCCAATTCAGAAAGTGGTATGCAAATGTCATGTAAACTCTATACAGTAGTGCAAATCATCAGGATAAATGGGGAGAACCTTTGACAAGCCACCAGCTTCCTATCCTCATTGAGACCACTAGTGTTAGTAGTCCTCAGGTAAGCTTGGGTATTTATTAACTCGTTGATTGATTAACCCACTCTTGGGTACTGCAACAGTAAACCTGTTCTAACACCTTGGTTTACTTTCAGACTCTTCACACACAGATCAACACACAGATCCGGCTCAGGAATCTGTACACCATTTGATTGACAGTTGAGAGGCGGGACCAAAGAGCCAAAGCTCAACCCCCACAAGCACAAATAGGCGAGTACAAATAGGTGAGTACAGTGGCATAGCACTAACCCACCACCCTCATCATTCAATTTATTTCAGAATATGTACTGTAGCATGATTTATATTTTGTATAAATCAAATAAAAATTTGATTTATATTTTTTGTTTTGTAGCATGATTTATATTTTATTTTATATTTATATATATTATTTTATTCTTATAAAATAAATATTTTGGGGGTGGGGGGGGGGGGAAGCTTGATATAAGCCTAACATGTACTATATGTATAAACTGACTGCCTGTCCCTAGATACAATGAATTATAACATACCTTGTCATTAATAAGGTTGAGTGAGGTATCAGAGCTCTCATGGACAGTTCTCCCACCTGTTGATGCTTTGATAGTAGATCGTGGTAATTCAAATACTTCCGTATTTACCACCTCCCGTTTCTCGCATTCTCCCGCGAGCCGTTGCGTTATATTTCCCCCGTCATCTCCTTCAGAGTCAGTGACGGACAATGAGGAGACCGATTGTAAACTCGTGTTTCTGACCACTGTACTGTCTGTGAAATTAGACTTTTCTTGTGGTTGATCACATACATTTTTCCTGAGCAAAGGAGCATCGAATTCTTTGGAAAATTCTCCTTTTCTAGTAAGAACTGCAATCTTTTGCTGAATATCACTTTGACAATTATCCTCACTATTACTTATACTACTGTTATCTGTTTTTCTTTTACTGGTGGTACTTTGTTCATCACTTGCATTATTCTGTTCACTGATAATGTCTGCTTTTAAAAGATTTTTCATAAATTCCTTTTCATTGATCTTTTGAACGTCAACAAAACATTCTTCACCAGGCAAGTTATCTTCAATTGGGGTGTTATTTGGCTTCACTCTACCACTAGTAACATTTTCTTCACTTGTCTCGGAGGAAAAGCTAGCAGTACGAGTTTGTACTTCGTGATCTGTTGGAGGTAAGCACAAGCCTAAATTAATATCCTTACATTATTGCATTCAAAACTTATTTTTATACCCTATTCTGAGTATATTTCAATAAAACTTCATATGTAAAGTATATAGCACACTACAAAACAGTACACAAGCATGCACATCCTTTTTTCTAGAATAATTTAATTATACTTCCCCCATGTTAATGATAAACTAGATGTTAATATATACTAAAAATTTTGGTGATTGGCTACAAATTCATGTTCTACATAATAATGATGAGCTGTTACAATAAAAGTGTCTGCTAATACAGTACTATAATATCCCTAACTGCTAAAAAAGAATCAGTTAACCAAACCAGAAGACAAAAAAAGCACCATAAGAAGCATACTGACAGACCCCAATTGAAACCTTTATCATGCAAACCTGTATCTGAGCACAGAGAAGAGCTGGAGACAAGTCGAGGTCGCAAAGAAGATCCACGATGACCCCCTTCACAGGACACTTGAGAAATCTGAGCAGAGTCCTCAAGGGTTTCCTGAAGAGATCCCATTACTTTTGGAAGTTCTTGAATAGAATCCCGTGGGTTACAGCTATCAGAATCGGATTCCAACCCTACATTGTGAAGAGAATCCGAGTCTTTCCAGCTTTTAAGTTCTGCCATCATGGCCAGATAACCAGCTCGATAACTGCTTGCTGTTGTTTGTGCAGGAAGAGCAGCCATGGGAGGAACAGGTGAAGATGTAGTAGGAGAGATGTGCGAGGATGTAGTGGAAGATGAATTTGAAGCTTTAACAGTTTCATCATTTTGAGCCGGGACAACTGGGGCATCCTCATTGTTTCGAGATGAATCGCTCTTCGTAGATGAAATACTGGATCTAGGTGACCGACATTGTGGGGAAACAGATATGCTATCAATCCCCTCTTCAGATAATAAGGAAAGCATGTCATAATCTACGTTTGATAATTCTGAAAAATGAACTTTGAATTCCTCATCTGGAGTTTCTTGTGTTTCGTGGACAATGTTTTCAATTTCTTTTGATTCTAAAACATGAGATGACCCAGAAATGTCACGGCTTGTGATGCAATTTGCTTTTAAAGCAAAACTTGAAGATTCATCATGAGATACTTGTAATTCTTCTTTGTGAGGAATTACTTGTCTTGTAGATGTTGAAACCTCTGCAATTTGTTCAGCTACAGGTGGGGGAGGAGCCTTTTTCTTCAGTGGTATTTGAGTTCGAGGTACAGGCTTTGGGTGCTTTTCTTCATTTGTAATGCTTGACAACACCAATGGAGTATGCTGATCTGTGACACTATTGATAGGTTGACTAGTTTGATTAGTCGATACTGAATGGGATGGTGGATCTGGGGTATTTCTCCTTCGAGTAGGTACTGGTGCAGCTGTTTTCACTGGTGTTGAAGATCTATGCTGATATTCAGCTAATGATAATGCATGCTTATTTTGGTCAGTTACTGGGCTACCTTCAACACTCAAGTCTACTGAAGTCACTGAGATCCCAAACACATTTCTGGGCTCAAACATATCCTCATTTACGTCCAAATCATCATCATCATATGCAATGTTATTTTGTTTGACAAGCCTCTGGCCTCTTGCTAAAGGATTCATACTAGAGTTCTTAGATGACTTGCTCTTTGAGCCAAACTTACTTTCTTCACCGACTTTTTGAGTTTTCCCATCTGCTATAAATTTTTTACCAACATCCTCCTCCTTCTGAAGAGCTGTATGTGACTTTGTGACAATTCGAAATGTAGGTATATCTGGTATACTCTCTATATCATTCTCTGGCACTACAGCATCATTTGTGTTAAAATCTATTTTGGCACTACAGGTAACTCCATCACTGGGAAAGCCAAGACGACTTTCTTTAGATATCTCATCCTGAATAGCACCCAAGTAATTTCTTTCTTGAATAATTTCTGTGGATGGCTTCTGCTTCTTCCCACTCCTCACAGAAGATGTAGAGGGAAGCTCTTGGGATGAACTGTGATGAGCGGCTTGAGTATGACTTGGGTGATCGTTGTGGCCATGATGCTGGAGAGCCTCAGACTTGGCTAACCTGTCAGGAGAGACGATGCCACTTTCTGTGCCATTCAATTTGCTGCGGTCTGTGGTGTGGCTTAGACTAAATGCTGTTGCTGCCTCATGATGCATTCCCAAGGTGGCTCCAGCAACAACAGTTATACGTGCATCGGTGGGTGAAAGAGGTTTGTAGGTGTTGGCGTAACTTTGATGTGAAGGTGTCATGTTGGAGGATAAATGAGTAGCAGAGGTAGGTTGAGGGCTATTGGATGGGGTTGCGCCAAGATTAGTACGTTCTGTGGAGGGTTAGTACAGCCAATTACCAAGCATGCTGTGGATGTTAACTGCCCACATGCACTCCAGACACAAGACAATGCAAATGCCATGCTACTACTGAACTATAATGCTTAATTTTTCATATTTATTGAAAATTAAAATCAAATACAGTATTTATTTAGGTTTCAATTTATTTCTCACAAACTTACAACTGCATTAACTAACTTTGTAAACAAAAATTCTTAGCTAATATAACTAACATGTTAAGAGTATTACAAAGCTACAACATTACCAGGTATGTAATACATGTAATTACCTGTAATAAGTGTAATACAGGTATGTAATTCCTTCTAATGTTATAGTACTGTATATACTCACCACACGTCTAAAATACTGTATACAGTATAAATAAAGTATTACTTTAATTTTTATAAGCATTTGTACAGCTTACTGAATAAATAAGCAATTTAAACAGTTGCTAATCTACCATGCATATAAAGCATAAAAATCCTAAATCTTAATGTTATGAAAAGTTAACAAGTTATCTAGAAAATATAAAGTAATGGTAAGGTGTATTTCAATATTTAAGTAGATATAAAAATCAATCTACAAATTATGTAGAAATAGACATTAAACTGCAATTACTTGTGTCATATTTAGCAAGATTTACTTTATTTCAAATTCAATGAACTGAAATGAATAAAATGACAAGAAATTACCAAATAACAACGATGTACAGTACAGTACTGATCTTTCAAAAAGATTGAGTCAACAGCTTATTACATATTATTAAAATGTTAGCTTTTGTTGACTTTCAATAATTTCTCCAAGATCATTAAGGAATTCATTCCAGTCATCTTCTATATTACCTTCTTCAAGATACACCTGTGGGGCAGACACGAGCTTACCTGAGGAGGGCGGTGCCGGGGGGGAGTCTATATCTGGCGGGGGAGGAAGGCGAGGGTGGTTGGCTTGATGCTGCTCTACACTACTCAGTGATGATACTGAGCTTACATGGGAGGAAGTTGGGGAGGAAGGTTGGTTAACTGGCTGGTGTTGCTGGGGGGGATCATGGTGTGCTTCCCCATTCGCTAAGGATATGTCTTCTTTGGAAGAAGATTTTGTGGGTGCCGGAGATTCGGACTCTTCAGGAATGGCAGATGGACGACTGGTTTCGTCCTGCCGGGTGGGAGGTGGCTTGGGAGGAGGTGGAGCTTTCCGCTTTCCCCGTGACGAAGACAGCGAGAGGCTTGATGTGGACACTACCGAAGTCAGGTTAGTGGCCTGGGGTACCTGAGCAGTGCGTGCAGCTTCTGCACTACTTATCTCGGAACCTGCCGGGCTGTAAATTAATGACAAGTTTACCTTGTAAGAAACAACTTAAAAAAAAATCCTAAAACGAAATATCTCTCAAGAGAGACTCAAAAATGTAAATATTATTAGAGTTTATACAGATAGCACAATTAGGAATTATATACATTAAAGTTTTCAAAATCTGCATTTATGATTGCACTCATCTGAAGACATAACTAACATATTTCTCTCATTCGCCGATACATTCATTCACATTCATTCATTTTCACTCATTCATTCACTCACATTCATTCACTCACACATTCATTCATTCATTCACACATTCATTCATTCACTTATTCATTCATTTACTCTCACTCATACGCATTGACTCATTCGCACGCATTCACTCATACGCATTCACTCAATCATTCACACTCGCATTCATTCACACTTGCATTCATTCATTTACACTCACATTCATTCATTCATTCATTCTCGCATTCATTCATTCATACTCTCATTCATTCATTCATTTACTCTCTCACATTCACTCTCACTCGCATTCATTTTCATTCCTTCACTCGCACTCTCATTCACTCACATTCATTCATTCACTCACACATTCATTTTCATTCACATTCATTCATTCATTCACATTCATTCATTCATTCATTCACACCCATTCATTCATTTGATCACAATCACATTCGTTAATTCACACCCACTTGTTCATTCACACCAACTCGCTCATTCATATTCATGTATTCATTCACACCCCTAACTCACTCGCTCACACTGTACTCACTTAGTTGTGCTTGCGAGGGTTTAGCTTTGGCTCTTTGGTCCCGCGTCTCAACTATCAATCAACTGGTGCACAGATTCCTGAATCTGTACACCTCGCGCACATATTCCCGTGCGCGCGCGTGGTGTGTGCATGTGCACGTGGTGTGTGCATGTGCACGTGGTGTGTGCATGTGCACGTGGTGTGTGCATGTGCACGTGGTGTGTGCATGTGCACGTGGTGTGTGCATGTGCACGTGGTGTGTGCATGTGCACGTGGTGTGTGCATGTGCACGTGGTGTGTGCATGTGCACGTGGTGTGTGCATGTGCACGTGGTGTGTGCATGTGCACGTGGTGTGTGCATGTGCACGTGGTGTGTGCATGTGTGTAATTACCCAAGTGTAGTTACAGGATGAGAGCCATGCTCGTGATGTCCCGTCTTCCCACCACTGTCGTATAACGCTTTGAAATTACTGACGGTTTTGGCCTCCACCACTTTCTCACCTAACTTGTTCCAACCGTCTACCTCTCTGCGAAAGTGACTTTTCTTATATTTCTTCGGTAGCTTTGTTTAGTTAGTTTAAATCTATGACCTCTTGTTCTTGAAGTTCCAGGTCTCGGGAATTCCCAAAATTAACCTCAGAATTCCCAAAAGTACTTTCCTCAGGAAAAGTACCCAAATGGGCCACACATAAACACAAGAAAATATTTTTTTCAGCGTCAGGAGAGCAAAGAAATGGAATATGCTAAAATGTGAAGAGGTGGAGGCAAATTACATACACAACTTTAAATGTAGATATGACAGAGTCCAACAGGCTTCGAAAGCTATAACACCAGTAGAGTAAGAGGTCAAGAGTCGGAACCCGCCCTCTCCAGTTGTCACTACGGACAGAAAATGTAATACTAAATTACCCTAACCCAACCAACTACCCATACGTAGGAAACTTGACATTTTGCGAGCCGCTATGATTCATAATACATCATATTTTGGCCGTTGGGGATTCTGATGGGAAAATGCGATGTATTAATTATTCGGGAGGGCAGAGTGAGGGCACAGAGCCTTGGCTCACCCCCCACAAACAACTAAAGGCGAGGATTGGCCGGACCCAACTGCACTTTACCCGATATAACATGTGACGTGCACTATATACACTTCACTGCATGTTTCAGTTAGACACATGCAATTTCAGTCGTGTGTGTGTGTGTGTGTGTGTGTGTGTGGTTTCAGCTAGACATACAGTATTGGTAAATAAGAGTTCACACTGCGGTCATTCACTTTAATCATTAGACTCTGTGGGGTTACCGATATAATCCAGTGTATTAAGGCACTGTTAATTCTCCATATCCCCCATACACACACGTCAACACCTCTCCACTGCTCGCTCTCTGGTGAGTGTAGGTGAGGTTGACAGGTGTGTGTGCAGCTTCAGGACATACCTGGTGTAGGGAGAACGCTGGTCGGCCTCATGGTACCCTGAAGAGTCTGAGCTGCGTCGGGAGAGGCTGGTGTCCGCGCCCTCGCCACGCTCACCCTCCTCCTGTACAACAACCAACTCATTATTAGCATTATTAACACACACAAATCACACTAACGTGATATATAGCAATGAACATGCCAGTACGCGACTCACGGGAGACATCTCCCGTCACGCAGGGTGCAGTCGCACCTCCACAGATCTCCAGTATCATCTATTGATACTGGTAATGGCTCAAAAGGCCCACCACTTACGGGCTATTCATGCCCGTGCCACCTCTTGGGTGGCTTAATCTTTATCAATCAATCAATCAATCAATCAATCAGTACGCGACTGACAATGCCGGGGACATAGGTGCGTGCCACCTCGCAGCCCTGCTGGATTTTCTCTATTCTTATTATTTCCATACAAATTTTAATTATTCATTCATATTTGGATTTATATCAAAAAATAAATCATTCGTTTTGTCAGGGATGAAACTTTATGTTGATAAAGTGCGAGAGTGAGCAGGACTGACCTTGCCATTGGTGTGTGGCGCAGGTGCGGGCGTGGGCGTGGATGCTGAGGGCGGGGGCGGTGGTGGGGCGGGCGCCTGTCTCTTCCTGTTCTTGGCCAGGTTGATGACTGAGGCAGGGCGGGAGAGCTGAGGTTGGGTTGAGGTGAGAGTGGCTGAGGAGGAGGCCAGGGAGAGTGGGCGTGGGGTGGGGCGGCCATCACCGGACTCGTCAGAGCGGGCAGGGCTCACACTCCTCTCTCCAGCACTCCCGGATGACACACTGCTGTCACCTGTCGACTGTCATATGACAACAAAATGAAAGTTACTGTCAAAAATATTACAACTCATACATGCATCATGTAATATTATTATTATAAGAGGACTAGTTGTGAAATTCAGGTTATTAAGTACGACATTTTAATCATTAATACATATAAAATATTTCATAAAATCTTGTACATTTATCATTTTCAATATTTCAGTAGACCTATTTTTTAACACAAGAGGTCTGTTTAATTTGGATGGGCTGCACGTAGAAATATCTACGAGAACACGTCAAGCTTAAGCCAGGCTATTAGCGACCGTAAGCTAGGCTACTACGCCACTCATGGCTACTGCTTTCTAGCTCGGGGGAATTGAGCTCAATATAATAAACCTCAAAATATGTAAACGACATACATAGTCAATAAAATGTTATGTATTTTGTTAATGTTTTAGTCAAGAACAGGGAACGTTGCCGAAAGGAAAACCCGCTTGTCCGTCCTAAAGTGTTGGTCAATGTTGATATCGCCCCCACCACCACCACCACCACCACCACTGTCATCACCACCACCACCACTGTCATCACCACCACCACCACGACTACTAACACCATCAGAGTTAACACCATCAGCACCAGCACTTAATAAATTAAATCAATGGGAGTTCTGGTGATTTTTCTTCATAATAACAAACAAGAAATATTTATTAGTTTAACACAGCCAGCAAGATGCCAAGATGCGTAAGATCAGACAACGGAGTTAAATGCAGACAAAAATATATGTAGAGACGAAATTTCAGATCACAGGTATGATTTTAAAGACATTTAATACTTTGTAAATCGTCTTATATAAATTAGAGTGATAAGGCAAACAGGTAAAAAAGGGATGAGAGAGACGGGGTATAATATGTCTCCAACAGCAGTCTCCAAGTATTTTCTCTAAATCTTAATTATTATTTCTCTCACACACACTCGGAAGGCTCAGAGCCCCAGACAACACACGCCTTCCCTTATCCAAGATAACCCCTCTACTGAGAAAATTTGGCTCCTCCCTCCAGAGGGAACCTATCTCGACAATTTCATGCTAGACACCCAATTACAAACTCACTCTCAAAAGAACTCAGAGACATCACACACAGACTAAGCACAGACCTACTCCTGCATGCAGAGCGCGCGCGCACACCGCGTTTCCCCAAGTTCCGCAACACACGTTTTACCGATAAATGGAAACTAATCCCAGGGTTGTGGGATTCCTTGCTGTGTACTTGTTCAACGGGTTGGATGGTTGGGGCACTGAGCTTACCCCCAAATGCTTCTATGTTGAACTGCTCTTCAGAAACAAATTTTCCTTCAATTTGTTAATCTTGTTCTTCAGTAACTTCAGAAAGTTACTTCACTAAACAGGTGTGTGCTGTGGTACATCACAGACCTAGCTGTGTTACAGCACAGCTAGGAGCAGTCTTGCAATTAATCTGTCCAAGCTGACCAGCGACATTCAGAAGAGTGTCTACGTGTCCCTTCGTGGCTTTGCTATCAGTGACGTTCGTATATTCACCAGCAATAAAATATAAACACACACGGGGGAGACATCTCCCGTCACGCAGGGTGCAGCCGCACCTCCACAGATCTCCAGTATCAGCTCTTGATACTGGTAATGACTCAAAAGGGCCACCACTTACGGGCTATTCGTGCCCGTGCCACCTTTTGGGTGGCTTAATCTTCATCAATGAATCAATCTATAAACACAGACATTCGTGTTACCTTACATCGTACAGCTGTGTCGTGACACAGCTGTCGAGGCACCGCGCCGTGCCTCGCCCCGGCAAGTCGCTCCGGTGTACACAATAATATGATCCGGCCATTAAATATTTATTACCATATTAACGTATATTTAGCCTGTTGTGAAGAGGGAATTTGATAAACATCTCCAACGGAATGCCTGATCAATCAAGCTGTTGTTCCTACCTTAGACTGCAAGCACCGGCTATTAACAGTTTGGATGATCAGACCTCGAGGAAGACCAGAGTAGGTAGAAACGCCAAAGTCGTTTGGATAACGGATATTTTTATCTTGTTCTTTATTAAAGAAAATGGTGTAGAAGAACCCGGGTGACAGTACACAGGTGGTTTATGTAATAATCTAAGATGAGGTCTGATAAAGACCTTTTGTGCCCTCTGTAATGCTTTTGCGCTACCGCTCACAGGATGAGTATGGGGTGCACAATAAACTCCAACAATAAAAAAAAAATCAATCAGGTTGGTGATGGTGTACGAGCACCCGGCTGACAGCATGGAGACTGACACTGGGAGAACGCTGACCAGTGAATGTTGACCAAAGTATTACCGGGTTTGGTGGTGTAAAGTGACCACATGCCGACCACCACAGTCTGGTGAATGTATTCTTACCAACCTCAGGAGCCCTTGCGCAAGTTGAAGATGCACATGTAATTTCCGGGACGATTTCCAATATCTTGTGTTTAAATATGGACCTAAGAGGAGGTATATGCAGGTTTCCATCACGGTTTGATAGACAGGAATTTTAAGTTAATTGACGAATGAGCTGCTGTTTCCCCGTAGCTCATCACTAATGTTATAATTATACAACATGCACCTAAATTTATTATAAAAGAACAACGGTATACAGGACAACATAATTTTATCTTTGAAAGTACTGTAATAGATACAAGATAATGCGTCTTGTCACGGTATACCACTAACAACCTTGTTTGTGTGGGGGCCTTTCCTGGTGGAGGGGGGGGGGGTCCGCCCCCCTCCCCCTTTCTCTCCCTCCCTCCCTCCTTCCCTCCCTCCCTCTCTCTCTCTATTAAAAATAGGGTTCACAAGGGCTGTCAATTGACGTACCTAGTGAAACTGCAAGCAAGAGATCTTATCCTACCTCAGCTTTTTGAAACCTACTCCTAGAGGCCCATTTATTTCATGAGCCTGTTATATGCAGCAATAGGAATAGCCTTTATTCGTGGACAACATTAGGTAACAATCATATAAGGAAGAGGATGAGCCTGTAGCCAACTGTGTGCCAGAGCCTTCATGTGATCAGTTGACCTGATCTTCCGTGTATCAACCTGTTGAGTGAACAAGTTCCAGATGCGAGTCAGCTTCGGAGTGAATGATCGCTGAGGAAGTGATGTTCTTGAGAATGGCCCTTCCAGCATGAGACTATTGCAGGTTGAGAGCTTAGTGCTACGGGTGGCAACTACTGGTAGTCGACGGTAGTTCCTTCTCTCTCCCGTGTCACGGGCTGCTTCCTGGGGATGGAGGCCTGGTCGAGGACCGGGCCGCGGGGACACTAAAGCCCCGAAATCATCTCTAGCGTGCACTTGTTACTCCTTATGCAATGTTTCAGTTGCTAAGCTCAGGTGTTACTCCTCACACACCAGAAATTGGACAGTCTCTTACACACGAGCCGCGCGTTCACCGTACGAACGGTCTCAAAAATGCCAAGTCACTCGTGTATCTTGTAGAGCTGGTCAGAGTTGGGCCAGCATACACTTTACACCTATACACTATTCCGTGACCCACCACGGTTGCAGGAACAACCGTGGACATCTTCAAGAGGAAACTAGATTGTTTCCTTCAAGGAGTGCCGGACCAACCGGGCTGTGGTGGGTATGTGGGCCTGAGGGCCGCTCCAAGCAACAGCCTGGTGGACCAAACTCTCACAAGTCAAGCCTGGCCTCGGGCCGGGCTTGGGGAGTAGAACAACTCCCAGAACCCCATTAACCGGGTCCCCCCCCCCACCACCTCCACGACAGCAGTGCTGGAGCGTGGCCCAGATCGACCAAGCACCAACACTTCATGCTATGACCCTAAACATCTCATGAAGCCGCTGATAAGATAATTCAAGTGATACGTGGGAATGGGACGGTAGGGAGGAGCGGAAGGGGTGGGAAGCTGAGGAAGGAAGGGAGGGGGGGGGGGGAGGTCATATACAACTGTATAAGACGGGCGGCACCATCCCTCCACACCCTCACACTGGCCCTCTTCCCAAACATCAACATTGTATTGATTATATTGTTTTGTTAAAAGTATGTAGAGAGGTGTACGTGAAAGAAAATATTTCCAAATGGGAAGTACAGGGTAGAGTGAGTTATGACAGCAGGCGGGCTGTCCGCCTTGCTGACACGATGTGTGGGTGTTGGCAGCTAAGCTGGGCGCGTCTAATTATCCAAAGCTTCATAGCATTACGCAAGTAATGAAGAACTATGATATATTGACTCACTATAATGTTGGTGCTGAATACAGAACGTGAAAAAAAAATTTACTCTGAAATAATACCATTTTATAGCAAAATTGGGTTCATCTAACTACCCAAAGACACTACATTGTCGCTTGGATCGTCGACTTCCTGTGGCGTCACCTGCCACTTAGTTTCGTCTAATTTCGTTATAACGTTATATTATGGCAGAGTATTTTTTCCATGTTCTACTTTCAGCACCAACATTAAAGTGAGTGAGTATATTATATTTCTTCATTACTTATGTAATGCTAGGAAGCTTTGGATAGATTTGGGTAATTAGACGAACCGGCTCCAAAATCTTCTCGCGTGCCAAGCAAAAAAAATTTTGGGAACGTAATTTTGTATCTTAAGTAGTGGTAGAACTGTTCTAATGATCAAAGATCAACACTAGAGCAGTAAAATCAGTGAATATTCTATGATTATTTAAATGTAAGACTGAATGAATATAAAATTTAGTGACGATTTCTACTTAAAATGTTTAACAGCAGATATATTTGTATTACCCTTTAACAAGCTGGCATATACAGCCACACAATTTAAAGTAAAAAAAAATTATCAGGAAAAAAGAGTAAACACTAATTCTGATATTTCTTTTTATATCAAATGAATCAGCCGTAAGTTTCTTCAAGTTTTCCAAATACATTACAGTGCTTAATCTCATAATCGTTTTACTTCGTGGTTGGCGTGCCACAATTGGTACGTGTGCAAAGGTTGCCAACCCCTGCCCTAGAGAATAGAAGAAACAAAGGAGGGATATGGTCACAACATACAAGATGCAGAG